CATGGGCGGCACGAGATCACCTCTGGAGTCCGCCTCCTCCTGAGCCAGGCTCGTGTCGTCCCGACGAACGCTTCGCGTGGTTGGCACTACGGAGCGGCGTAGGGGTTAGCTTTTAGATCGCTTGGTAAGTAGTACACAAGCCCGAGGCTCATCGACGTGACTCTACTTAAGCAAGTTCTCAATCATAGGATGGCGCAAGGGGGGCAAAATGCAAGGCTCTATTACTAGTACAAAACAGTCTAGCATGCATGGCTCTGCTGACCACAGGCGTAGGTATTTTTGTCTATATGCCACCCGAGAGGGGAGCTTCTATCTACCGTGCGTGCCGTATTTTATTCTATCTTGTGAAAGCCGCGGTGTGCGCCCACGGTCTGTTCCTTTGACCGGATCTCTAAGTAACTACTCTCTAGAAACTCCTATCTATCAAAACAAAGAAAAAAGTTCGTGCCGCGCCCAAGGGACTGATATGACAGGAAACGCGCGGTTGTCTATCCGGAACAGAGAGAGAGAGAGAGAAAAAAGTTTGATGATGCGAGACCAGCGTAGGGTTAGGGAGGTAGGTAGGTAGGTAGGTAGGTAGGTAGGTAGGTAGGGATTGGACGATTATTCTTGAAGTAAACGCCTACTCTCGCGAGACATCCCGTCCGTAAATCTTGGTCTTGATCCAGTCAAGAGCAACCAGAACCCGGTTGCGCGCTAAAGCATATCAGCATTGTTCCCTCAAAATTAGTTGCGCTGGGGACTTACTGCTGAAGCACATGCTCAGGTAAGCACTTCTCCAGAAGAGATATGTGAGCTTGCCGCCAGTAGCGACATTGCCATTCAGCCATGCAACATCGGCAACAGCCTTCTCGCTACCAATGTAGGCCAAGCTGCCCTGGTGGGAGTAGTGGAAAGGCTTGATATCTTTGATACGACGTAATTGCTTCTCGGCCGTTTCAATTTCCTGCGTAAGCTCTGCCGTATTGCCAGGCTTGAGGTTCAGGCCGCTACTAAGCTCGCAGATCTTCTCCTCCAAAGCCTCAGTCTTGGCCATGTTGTTAAACAGCCTCGCCAGAAAGGCACCTTCTTGAGAGGCCACTTGTGCAGTTGGCGCATATCCAGCGACAGCACAGTCACCAACGGCCCAAATGTCGCGCGTGCCTTGAACAACCAGGTACTCGTTGACAGCGAGGCCACGCCTCGAGGCCTTTTGCGCGGGAATCTGGGACATAAGATCCTTGACTACGGGGCGCACTGCGTTACCGGTAGCCCAAACAAGAAGACCATACGGGATAGTAACCATAGACTTCTTGCCGTCAGGACCAGTGATCTCGGCCTCAACAGTCTTCTCAGTAACCTTCTTGACCATGGTTTTGGTCTTGATCTCAATATGCTCCTCCTTGAAAGTGCTCTCGGTGTAGTCAATGAGCTGTTTGCTGAACATGGGCAACACATTGGGCAGAGCCTCGATAAGGGTCACCTTGAACCGCGGAGAAATCTCGGGGATCAGCTTCTTAATATCATCATCGAAGAAATCTCGAAGTTCACCGGCGAACTCGACACCGGTAGGACCGCCACCAACGACGACCATGTGAAGCAGACGATCTATCTCCTCTGGCGCCTGGTCCTTGAAGGCAGCGGTCTCGACACAGTCCATGATCTTGGTACGGATTGCCTGGGCGTCACGGATCTCCTTGAGGAAACAGCTGTGCTCGCGAACACCAGGAATGCCAAATGTAGCATTCTCCGCGCCCACACCAATAACGAGCATATCATAATGGACCTCGGTCTGGTTTATGTCCCCTCTGATGTCACTGTTGTCCGTAATCTTGACGATCTTATTTTCCGTATCGATGTGGGTGGCCTCGGCTTCATAAAACTTGACAGCAGCTTTCTTGTGACGCAAGATCTGGCGTACAGGCTCCATGATGGAGCGGTGCTCGATTTGACCAGTGGTACAAGATGGCAGCAGGGGGGTGAACAGGAAGTAGTTACGTGGCGAAATGACGACGACATTGTAGTTGGCCGTGTCCAGCTTCTTGAGTAAAGCGACTGAACCCCAGCCAGTGCCTTTTTTACCACAGCAAAGAGTTAGAGCGGATCAACTTAAACTACAGAATCGGCAAGGTTGTACTCACCAAGGATGACCAAAGTCTTCTTATGGGGGTCGGGGGCAAACTGCTCATCTGGATGGCGATCTAGGTAACCATCATAGACAATTTTCCCAACACCTAGGAGGGCGGATAGGTAGGTGGCGCGCCATAACCATTTGAAAGAGGTACGGATTCTGCGCGGCTTCTTTGTAGGTGGCGCATCGGCATAAGACCTCGTGAATTGGCGAGGGATTGCGCTTCTTCGTGCTCCGGCGACTATAGAGGTGGGAAGAACCGGCTTTCGCGACAAGGGCATCGTACTATAGCTGGTCGCATTTACTCTAGGGTGCTTAGCGACAGCATCAGGACCGGAGCGCTGTTTTGTGGCTGCGCTGAGTTGGGAACCAGCGAGCCGAGGCAAAGCTCTCGAGGAGGAAGCCATTGAGTGTTTGTAGGAAGCTTCAATGGCCAACCGCGAGGCTAGTCAACGAAGGGAGCGTGAAGTTCAGAGGACAAGAAGAAGAAAAATAACAATAAAACTTTTGGTGAAGAGGGAATATTTCTGTCCATGGGAAGGCCTGTTAGGTAAGTACCTAGGTTACGTAGTACACTAGAAGGAAGATGGAGTGAAGTACATGTAGGTACCCGTGCCTAGCCCCACTTTAGCTGCTTTCGTTACCTCTCACCACCTAAAGGTGGTGCCTATCACCATTTTCAACGTATCACCATTTCCAACACTTTTTTCTATTTTAATAGGGAAAAAATCATAACTTAGCGAAAATAAAAGATAATGATTAATGAAAAATCAATTTCGAAATCTAATTTTTTACTTTATTTAATAAAAAATATAAAAAAATATTTTATTATATATTTATTTATTAATAAAATATTTATATTATTATTAAATATAATAATATTTTTAAATAAAATAAAATAAAATAAAAATACTTTTTTTATAATTTTTTAAAAATTATTTATATATTATATAATAAATAAAAAATATAATAATATAATTTTATAATATATATAATATATATAATATATTTAAAATATAAAATTTATAATAAAAATAAATAAATAAATAATATAAATATAAATATATTATTTATTATATTACTTTATTATATTTTTTTATATTTTTTATTAAATAAAATAAAAAAATAGATTTTGAAATTAATTTTTTATTAATTATTATCTTTTATTTTCGCTAAGTTATACCTTTTTTTTATAAAAATAAAAGAAAGTGTTAGAAATGGTGATACGTTGAAAATGGTGATAAGCACCAGCTTTAGCTGGTGAGTCCTAACGAAACCAGTCTAAAGTGGGGCGTAGCACGAGTAGGGGGTGCACAAGACTCATTCAATCAAAAATTTAGGTGGACCCTAACTTCGGTGTCCCTGCCAGGCCTGCTTGCCCAGCAGCCCAGCTTTTACTGCTAGCGTCTTGGCATGTTTTTAGCTTATCTAGATCTGGGATAAATGTTGGCCACGGGCTACCGGACCTGAACGTAAGCCATACATATGTATATGTACAGTCATCACCTATTATTATATACACAAATGCAAGTTCTACTTCTTACATACGCACAACATATCTAATGCAGAAAGGCAGTTAATACTAGCTTTATATCTCTAGAGATATCTCCAAGGATCTAGACTTTGCTGTCAACAAGGAGGCATACATAACATATGAAGTGGTTATCTGGTTATGACGTATGGGCAGATTCGTTATCAACCACCAATGCCCATTTTAATTCCCTTCCGTCTCTTTATCGTGTGATTCCCCCAGTTCCGCCCAGGCCCGACCTGAGCAGTGGTGAGCGGATGACGGGAGCGATTGACTAGCTTACAGATGCTGGCTGCAGGCTGTCATAGGAGTTGAATGATTGGCTCATTGGAAATACCTAGCGTATGTCTAGTGAAAATATGTATGTACTCACATGCAAGACCTCTGAGAAGTTTTCTCTTTTTTCCCCCTTGATGCTGGAGTTCTTCAAACCCAAGGGGTTCAGTCTTGTCTGTTGAGATGATATTTATATAATCTGCAGCGGCAGCAATCTGAGCTAGTATGTACATGAAATGATATTACCTTACCTACAGTAACATGGAGGATCAGGTACTAATAAGCAGCGAAATACGGCAAGTTACGTGCCATCCTTATACCACAAACTGCGGTTGTTGCTATACTGTTAGTTCAAACTCCCAAAGGTTATTATTCCCTTATCTTCTGCAGTGGAAGTTGCCGTAGCTCTTTGCAATGACGAGGCACTACCCGGAGTCCGCATCTTTAGCCTTTGCTTGATTGGTACTAACATCTCCCCTTCGGCCATCCGGCTGATCTCAGACCGCAAGGTGAATGAATAATGTTGAGTCGAGGTGTCCCAAGTTATGAGCCGGATGGTGATGTGTAGGTAGCGTATATATACACAACAAAACCTCGCCCCGGCCAACGAGATCTGTAAGTACAGACTGCGTCCTATCAAAGATGATACCTCTCATAATGCATTCAATATTTCCCAACACTTATTGAAACTGAGCACAAATTCCAAGACATTCGTAATTCAACAATCCCGTGATAATCGAGGGCACGAGAAAGACATACACCAAGTCACCTAGTAATATTGCTGGTATTATCAATGCAATGGACCTTTTAGTCGTTCTCTTTGCATATCTAGGCTAGAAAGATAAGTACTACTTCCATCAGCTCTAGATACTTTTGATTGCAGCTGTAATGCTTTTTTCCTTCCTTTATACGATGCGTGATATGATAGTATGCCCTAATGACATGACGAGTCTAGGATCACAAAATATGCTAACTATCAGAACAAACAACACATGCAAGACTGAAGGAGCCGAGGCTGAGTCAGAATTTAGTTAGCTAGCGATAGATAAGGAAAAAAAGAAAAAAGAAAAAATTAAGTATTCACTCTCCCGGTAAGGCTCGAACTTACAACCTCCTGATTAACAGTCAGACGCGCTAGCCAATTGCGCCACGGAAGATAATTTCTTAAGGATGGATTTTCAAGGATGATATTCAATTATATATAGCAATTCACCCATCCCACCAGCTAGGTTAACCCGATCTACCCTAACCTTACGTCCATCGATCGTCATTCAATCCACCATTCGACATTGGGGCAGACATTTATCTCTAGGTACGCATCCAAATTATAGTCTATGAATTATTATTAATTAGCCTTATTATCTGTAGTCTTCTGCAATCATCGGCACCGAAACCACCTCCTCCTTATCAGTGACATACCCCGCAGCCGCCCACAGCCAGCATGGCATCAACGGCCCTGATCAAGAAATTCAGCCTGATCTTCTACGCGCCTCCCTCGGCGGTGCAGGCCTGCAAGACGGCCATCTTCCAGTGCGTAACCTAACCCGGAGTTCCGCATTTCAAACACACACACCCTTCCCTTCCGCTCCATTTCAACTCTCACGGGAGCTACATCATCCCACCTAACCTACTAAGTACATAATCTACCTGCCCACCTATCCAACTTTGAATCTCCCCAGATCCAATTACCTAACCCGCTTAAAATTGCACCTACATACACACACCTACACACATACACACGAGAGATATACCTACCTACCCAGCTAACCGCGAAACGCGCGCGCCACAGGGCCGGCGCGGGCCGCTACCCGGGCCCGGGCAACTACACCGAGTGCTGCTGGTCGGCGATGGGGACGGGTCAGTTCCGGCCCGGCGACGCCGCGAACCCGCACATCGGGCAGGTCGGCGCGCTGGAGGAGACCCCCGAGGTGCGCGTCGAGACGCTTTGCCTCGGCGAGGACGTCGTCAAGCACGCCGTCGCAGCCCTGAAGTCGTACGTCTTTTCGCTTTTTCGTTTTTCTTCTCCTTCTGCTACTTTTGCCGTGTGCGTGTGCGTGCGTGTGTGTGTGTGTGTGTGTGTGTGTGTGTGTGTGTGTGTCGGTAGTGCTGCTGGAGCTTACCCTCATCTGCTCGTTTGAGGAGCGGCGCGCTGATTACGAGTTCCGTTGCCCCGACCTAGAGCGCACCCGTATGAGGAGCCTGCGTACCATGTGATCAAGCTGGAAGACTATTGAGCGCGGCAGCGGCGCAGGAACGGATGACATGTGAATATTGTCAATACTTTTGCCCCGAGGCTCGGAGATCGCGAATTGGCTGGGTATGCGGTTAATGCCTGACCTCCAATGGGAATCTACATACCTCGGTGGAAGATGGGATGGGGTATTGACTTGAGATCGCGGCATTCATAACGTAGAGTACGGCTCGGAATGGATCCATCTGAAGCATGAGCATTGGAAGCATTGCATGGTTCGGCGTCACACAGAATTTAATGTGCCATATAGGATTGCTAGGAAGGAACTGGGTTTCTAATTCATAATCTTTGCATATCACTCGCAGTACTACTGGCCTTTGCGGACTCGAACAATATTCCGATGCACAGTTCGAGTGACTTACGCTTCTTCTATTAGTTACAGGATGATAAGAAATGGCGACTTGATAGCATGGATAAATTTAGTCTTCCACATGCATCCTGCCCTCTCGTACTACACCCCATCTTCATAATTCCGCCCGGCATCAAATCGGTTCAGAACGTAGTAATCTGTAAAGTTGTCTCATCCCTAGCTGTTATTCTTAGTCGATAGAAAATCCGGCATATGTACTCTTGCGTCGCTAACTAGGGTTCTATCTAGTCTCTTCAGTTCAATCATAAATGCTATAATCCTCGGATCTTGTGAAGCTCTTCTTCTCAGACATCATCGCGTAGCCCACCTTTCCCTGGAAACGAACACTGCGAAGCTGAAGAAAAAAATAAAACCAACCGTCCCAGTTATCCATATGACGTCTGGTGTAAAGCATCTCCATCTACACCCAAGAGCTTCTCGAGCCATAGCCCTTTAATGCGAGAAAATAATTCAGGCGAGTAAAACTGTACTGCCCAATATGCCACGTAGGAGATCGTCACAAGAGACGAGGTTTTAAAACTACGCCAGTTCCAAAGTAAGGCCATGTCCGAGCTACAAGCAAGTCTTGAATAGCTTATCGAGTTGTTAGCACTGCCATCCGGCAGCAAGGTTCGCAGATCTGGGGTTGTTTCGCTTCAAGCTGGTTTGTCAGGTCCATTAACTTGTATAAAGCAGAACAACAAGACATCGTGTATATATATTGGGCCATACCCGCCAGTATTCAAGACCGACGAATGCCCGCGAGTGTGTGCTGGAAAGGATTTACTCGGGATCGAAGATGAAGCTCTCAAGTCTACCATCGTTGTTGCACCACTAGAGCTACGATAACACAGCACCAGAAAAGATGGAATTCATCGTCGGAAAGCTTTTTGTTTATTCCTTTCTCGCCACACTAATTAATACATTGAATTCGTGGTAATCGTATCACTAGACGCCGGGACACCGCCCAACCACCAACCGCCGACCGCTAACCGCCAACTATCGTCCTGGTGTTGATGCCGGCATTTCTCCGTACCTCCCTCTGTGTCTTGTCGTATCATAAGCATTGATGACACGGGTTTGGCTTTCGTCGGCTTGTGAAAACGCATAGCCACGTTGTTTCCTCATCCGCTGTACTTGGCGGACCTTTCTGATCGCCTTCTGGAACTGCTCCATCCTGTGCAACATCGTTAGCTACCGCAAACTAGCAAAGTCGGTTGACGGGGAGTAATGGTGGGTGTGGGCTTACCTTGGCCGATAGTCCTGGATATTGTACTTCTGGATCTCCTGTATATGGTGATACGTCTGCGGATAATACATTCTCTTGGCATATTTCCAAGAGAAATCCCGGAGGAGACACAGAAGGGGTAGCGCAACCGTTTGAAGCCAGAAAACGGGATTGCTAAAAAGCTTCGGTACCAGACCATGATATTCCATTGAGATGCCAACCATGGGGGCAACAATTCCATAGACGACGACAAACACGTACCAGATCGCCATACTGCCCGGAATAGCCATCACGTGGTACTTGGTCCAATTATTAGTCACCAAGGCGGCTTTCCCAAGCACAGTAGCTAGGGTGGCAGCATATATGGATGTGCCCCAGACCCAATGGCCCGCAACTGTGCCGCCGGCTAGCTTGAGCTCGTCGTACCAAATAAGTTCGGCGAAGATATAAAGGAGAATCGAATGGTAAACGGCACTGGCAATCCATGCCGCAAAAGTGCCGATTTTGAAGAACTGATTCCGTTGCCCCAGAGTGTAGAGCTGCGGGTAACGATCAAGGAGTCGCGCGGAAATGAACTGGTCTAAGATGCCCATGACTAATGGTGGCAGTACGGTATAAAACACGTTGTAGAACGAAAGGGTCCACGATTCGAAAAGAATTGCGCCAGAGAAGACGTTTTGGAATGTGTACTAGTAATGAATTAGCATTGCACAACTATCGCCTGTCGCATAGCACAATTGAGGGCTAGCGATATAAATAAAGAACTGAAAATTGGGAAAGGGGGGCTAACTTACCCAAAACTGCGTCATATATAAAGTAATGTTCTTATAGAATGAGAAAAGGATTGTCTTGCTGATACGTTGATAACTCCAAGCGCCATGAACGAGAGTAAGCTTGCGGAGGAATCGGAATTGAGCAATCGAGATATCGGCCGACCGGGCAGCCTGTAAACCCTCAACACCAGAAATGCCGACACCAATGTGAGCAGCCTGAATCATAGACACGTCGTTCGCTCCATCGCCAATAGCGAGGAGGATCTCGGGTGAGAACTTCTTGACCAATTTAACGACCAAAGCCTTCTGCAGTGGCGAGACACGGCAGCAGATAACAGCTCTGCACATCACGGCCAGATCGTAGAAAAGTTTCTCCATGTCAGGTTCCAGGGCATAGGTAAGGGACTTGCCATCAATGACAAGAGCAAGGGTGTCCATTTCGACTGATCCATCTGCGTTGTTCCGAATAGCGTCCAACTTCTTCTGGATGTTATCGCGAGTCGCTACAGCATCTTCTTCATTGATAATCAGGAGCATCATGTCTTCACTTAGAAGCTTGGAACTCATGCCGATATTGATAGCTGTCTCCTGTCGATCTCCGGTCAATACCCAGACCTTGATATTGGCTTGTTGTAGCGTGTGAATAGTCTCAGGCACACCATCCTGAAGACGGTCCTCAATGGCGGTTGCTCCGAGCAGGTAAAAATCATGTTCAATGATTTCAGCTGCTTTGTCTAGCTCTTCGGCACGATTACCGCCAACGGTGGTCTGTGCCTTGTCAAAGATCGCGTACCATTCCTGAAACTCCTCGTCGGAAATCTCACGCATTGCCAGGCAAAGGGTACGAAGACCTTCTGAAGCGTATTCTTCGAGATGTAGTAGAGTTTGCTCGACGTGGGGGTTATCACCGTTCAGGCGCTCTAGAATGACAGTGTCTGCACCCTTGCAGTATAGCCGAATCTTTCCATCGGGACATCGATAGATCGTCGACATTCGCTTCCTCGTAGAGTTGAACTCGCAGACGGCTAAGAGTTCATATTCGTACTCCTTCCCTTTGACCTCGATAATGACGGATCTCGGCTTACGAGCAACAAACGTATACCCCATAGTCAGAGCACCTTGAACTAAGGCACCTTCATCGGGCGACGCAGCCTGGTATTTGATCTGACCACCTTTTCCCTCGTCTCGTTCTGGGATAACAGTATGACAGGTTGCAAGAAGTGCCAAGAAGTGATGGATCGCTTCGGCGCTCTCATGAGACTGCAAGTTCTCGCGCAGTTGTTTAAAATCGTGGATACCGACCTCTATACCATCTTGAACCGTAGCCCTTCGATCCTCCGGTACTTCATCCGCATATTGTATTCCGCTGATTGTGCATTGTTTGAACTCCATCATATTACACGTCAAAGTTCCTGTCTTGTCAGAGAAAACGAAGCCAACCATGCCTAGCTCCTCAACTAAACTTGATGTTCGACAGTTCGCAGGCGTGTCTGTCTTGTCATAATAAATATCGAGGTCGTCGTTAATCAGGATGCCGTGCCAATATTTGACCATCT